CCTGGGTGCCACCCACGCCGGTGCACTGACTCCCTGGGTGCACCCACACCGGTGCACTGACTCCCTGGGTGCCACCCACACCGGTGCACTGACTCCCAGGGCGCCACCCACACAGGTGCACTTACTCCCAGGGAGCCACCCACGCCGGTGCACTGACTCCCTGGGTGCCACCCACACCCGTGCACTGACTCCCTGGGTGCCACCCACACCGGTGCACTGACTCCCGGGGTGCCACCCACGCCGGTGCACTGACTCCCAGGGTGCCACCCACACCGGTGCACTGACTCCCAGGGTGCCACCCACGCCGGTGAGCTGACTCCCGGGGTGCCGCCCACACCGGTGCCACCCACATTGGTACACTGACTCCCTGGGTGCCACCCACATCGGAACACTGACTCCCAGGGTGCCATCCACACTGGCACACTGACTCCTAGCGAGCCACTCACACCGGTACACTGACTCCCAGGGTGCCACCCACATTGGTGCTCTAACTCCCAGGGTGCCACCCATACCGGTGCACTAACTGCCAGGTGCCACCCACACCAGTACACTGTCTCCCAGGGTGCCACCCACACCTGTACACTAACTCCCAGGGTGCCACCCACACCTGTACACTAACTCCCAGGGTGCCACCCACACCTGTATACTAACTCCCAGGGTGCCACCCACACCTGTACACTAACTCCCAGGGTGCCACCCACACCTGTACACTAACTCCCAGGGTGCCACCCACACCTGTACACTAACTCCCAGGGTGCCACCCACACCTGTACACTAACTCCCAGGGTGCCACCCACACCTGTACACTAACTCCCAGGGTGCCACCCACACCTGTACACTAACTCCTAGGGTGCCACTCACACCTGTACACTAACTCCCAGGGTGCCACCCACACCTGTACACTAACTCCCAGGGTGCCAATCACACCTGTACACTAGCTCCCAGGTTGCCACCCATACCGGTACACTAACTCCCAGGGTGCCACCCACACCTGTACACTAACTCCCAGGGTGCCACCCATACCGGTCACTAACTCCCAGGGTGCCACCCACACCTGTACACTAACTCCCAGGGTGCCACTCACACCTGTACACTAGCTCCCAGGTTGCCACCCATACCGGTCACTAACTCCCAGGGTGCCACCCACACCTGTACACTAACTCCCAGGGTGCCACTCACACCTGTACACTACTCCCAGGTGCCACCACACCGTACACTAACTCCCAGGGTGCCACCCACACCTGTACACTAACTCCCAGGGTGCCACCCATACCGGTCACTAACTCCCAGGGTGCCACCCACACCTGTACACTAACTCCCAGGGTGCCACCCACACCTGTACACTAACTCCCAGGGTGCCACCCACACCTGTACACTAACTCCCAGGGTGCCACCCATACCGGTACACTAACTCCCGGGTACCTCACTGAATGGGCATCTAGTTACTGTTAGGTGAATAATAGCAACCGAGGTTCAAGACATTTCCCTTTGTTTTTCTCCCCTTCCTCCCCTTCCCCTAGCACAGGGACTGAACCCGGGCTCTTGTGGTTGTGAGCCGAGACGCCTCTGTGAACGAGGAACTAGAAATGGGGGAACCCCATAAACAGCCTCTTGAAGACTGGAGATTATATGATATAATCTTCAAATTATAGGCTTTGGGGGTCATTATAACAAATTATGCAAAGAAAACCACAGCAAAGATCTTGGAAGAGCTTTTGCTGGCACAAAGACGCTTCCTGTGATCGCATTTGTTTGGACCTTCTCATCTCTTCTGCAACATTGGAGGCTCCTGATGATGTGTTTATTACAGCACGAAAGGCCTGGAGCTGTCATGCAACTTCCCCCTGTGACTGTGTTGTATCTTGTATCGCTTGTTCGAGATTTTTGCAAAATATATATATGGATGGAAAGATACTATATATTAATAATCTGCAAAGTCGACAAGAGGATAAATAAGACACATCCAACACTTGGGCAACTTCACTGATATAACACTGTGAGTTAATGTCGTGTTCAGTGTTCCACCTTGAACGCCAAGGTTGGGTCGTCCAGGTAGACACCTTGGCGACCCAGCCTGCCCATGTTGTGAGGGAGATGCGTGTTAGCAACCCTGTGTGGTGGTAGGTGATAGGCCCTGTGAGGAGTTGATGTAGAATGGGGAGGAGGAGGAGGAGAAGTTACGTGGTATGGGGAGGAGATGGAGTGAGGGGTAGCTGGAGTGAGGGGAAGGTGGGGATTGATAGAGGGGTAGGTAATTTTTATAGCAGAGTTGTTCAAATCAGCAGTGTGCTGCTGCTCCTCTGTTCTGTATGATAGTTACACAGTGGGAACAACAGCTGTCAGTAATAGATATACCTGTGTAGAATACATACATATATATATCTATTACTGACAAATAAAAAAGTGTCAGTCTGAGCTGCGAGACATGAGTAGAGCAATGATGATATCGTCAGGTATACCATTAAAGATATAATCAGCAACGGGAGATACAAAGGTTTCCTACCAGCAGAGCTGGAGTTACTATCACTTGGGAATTACCATCTCTCAGGATGGTAATTCCCAGGAGAAATAACAATTTGAGGATGATATCCGCAACATCCCAGAGCGAGGGCAACAAATATATGGGAGACAGAGAGAAGGAGGGAGGAGAGTGAAGGAGAGATATTTGGATAATATAAGAATGCAATTAGTGTGATATATAAAAATATATAGAAGGGCATGAGGGAGGGATAGGTGGCGAGGGAGTGAAGGGAGGGGGTGAGGGAGGAGGGTAGAAGGATGAGGAAAGAGATGGAGCCAGGAAAGATTGGGCTGGGAGAGAGAAGGGTGGGCGGGGCAGGATAAGAAAGGCCGATGAAAGATGGAGAAGGGATGAGATAGGAAGGGGAGGAGGAGGGAAGGGGAAAGAATGCGGTTGTGCACAGAGGGGGGGGGGAGAGTGTAATTGGGAAGGGCCGAGAGGAAGGTGTTAGAGGGAAGAGTTTATTTTAGATGGTCGGCAAGGCTGGAGTTACCTGCAGGCTGATCAATTAGGCTGTCTGTGCCAGCTGCAAGCAGTTCAAGGCGAGCACCCCAGCCCGGCTCATCAGGAACACTGCACAGCTGGTATTTACAAAAAAAAAGATTTCGTTATTTTTTATTGAAATAGCGAAAAAATTAAAAAGCTCCAAATACGTAGGGGAGACGTGAGAGTGACAGCACACGGTGGTAATGTGACTGACAGCACACGGTGGTAAACGTGTGACTGACAGCACACGGTGGTAGAGGTGAGACTGACAGCACACAGTGAGAGACGTGTGACTGACAGCACACAGTGGGAGACGTGTGACTGACAGCACACAGTGGGAGACGTGTGATTGACAGCACACAGTGGGAGACGTGTGATTGACAGCACACAGTGGGAGACGTGTGATTGACAGCACACAGTGGGAGACGTGTGACTGACAGCACACGGTGGTAAACGTGTGACTGACAGCACACGGTGGTAGAGGTGAGACTGACAGCACACAGTGGGAGACGTGTGACTGACAGCACACAGTGGTAAACGTGTGACTGACAGCACACAGTGGGAGACGTGTGATTGACAGCACACAGTGGGAGACGTGTGATTGACAGCACACAGTGGGAGACGTGTGACTGACAGCACACAGTGGTAAACGTGTGACTGACAGCACACAGTGAGAGACGTGTGACTGACAGCACACAGTGGTAAACGTGTGACTGACAGCACACAGTGGGAGACGTGTGATTGACAGCACACAGTGGGAGACGTGTGATTGACAGCACACAGTGGGAGACGTGTGACTGACAGCACACAGTGGTAAACGTGTGACTGACAGCACACAGTGGGAGACGTGTGATTGACAGCACACAGTGGGAGACGTGTGATTGACAGCACACAGTGGGAGACGTGTGACTGACAGCACACGGTGGTAAACGTGTGACTGACAACACACGGTGGTAGAGGTGAGACTGACAGCACACAGTGGGAGACGTGTGACTGACAGCACACAGTGGTAAACGTGTGACTGACAGCACACAGTGGGAGACGTGTGGCTGACAGCACACAGTGGTAAACGTGTGACTGACAGCACACGGTGGTAGAGGTGAGACTGACAGCACACAGTGGGAGACGTGTGACTGACAGCGCACAGTGGTAAACGTGTGACTGACAGCACACAGTGGGAGACGTGTGACTGACAGCACACAGTGGGAGACGTGTGACTGACTGCACACAGTGGGAGACGTGTGACTGACAGCACACAGTGGGAGACGTGTGACTGACAGCACACAGTGGGAGACGTGTGACTGACAGCACACAGTGGGAGACGTGTGACTGACAGCACACATTGGAAGACGTGTGACTGACAGCACACAGTGGGAGACGTGTGATTGACAGCACACAGTGGGAGACGTGTGACTGACAGCACACAGTGGGAGACGTGTGACTGACAGCACACAGTGGTAAACGTGTGACTGACAGCACACAGTGGGAGACGTGTGACTGACAGCACACAGTGGTAGACGTGTGACTGACAGCACACAGTGGGAGACGTGTGACTGACAGCACACAGTGGGAGACGTGTGACTGACAGCACACAGTGGGAGACGTGTGACTGACAGCACACAGTGGGAGACGTGTGACTGACAGCACACAGTGGGAGACGTGTGACTAACAGCACACAGTGGGAGACGTGTGACTGACAGCACACAGTGGTAGACGTGTGACTGACAGCACACAGTGGGAGACGTAAGAGTATCAAATTCATTTGTATTAAAGTCACTGAATGAAAATCAGAGAGAGAGAGAGAGAGAGAGAGAGAGAGAGAGAGAGAGAGAGAGAGAGAGAGAGAGAGAGAGAGGTGAGGGCCATCCAAGCAGGGAGGGTGTTGGGGGAGGGAGGGAGTGAGAGAGAGATAGGGGGAGGGGAAGGGAGAGAGAGAGAGAGAGAGAGAGAGAGAGGGCTGAGGCAGTAGTGACTAGAGACCAGCAGTAGTTCCGAGCACCTTGCCAGTGAGGGTGGACGTTACCCCCTTGTTTCCTGGCTCACCACACTGGTGGTGCTGCACACAACACTGGTAGTGCTATCTCCTCCCCCTCCCTCTGTTACAACACTGGTGGTGGTGCTGCCGTCCTCCCCTTCCCTCAAAAGTGATATCGCTCTTTATCATGGAAATCAACGGCTCTTTAAAAGAGTTGCACTCGAGTGACTGAAATGGCTCTCAACATATTGCAAATGAGTGCAATATGGATAACGCCACTGGCCGAGTGAACTGATGACAGTACCTGTGTCCCTGGAGTGTTTATTAGTGGAGTTTGCTGTGGGTGTAGCGTGAAGCCACTGGACGCTACTTGTTCCTGCTGTCTGAGAGATACATAACGCAACTCTGTGGGAATGGTGAGTTGAGCCAGCACCTGTGTCCACCCACGTGTCACCTGTGTCCATCCATGTCACTGTTGTTGTCACTTGTGTCCACCCATGTCACTGTAGCTGTTACCTGTGTCTACCCACGTGTGTCACTGTGGTTATGACCTGTGTCCACACACGTGTGTCACTCTAGCTGTCACCTGTGTCCACCTATGTCGCTGTTGTTGTCACCTATGTTCACCCACGTGTGTTGCTGTAGCTGTCACATGTGTCCACCCACGTGTCACTGTAGTTGTCACCTGTGTTCACATGTCACTGTAGTTCTCACCTGTGTTCATATGTCACTGTAGTTGTTACCTGTGTCCACCTACGTGTGTCACTGTAGTCACCTGTGTCCACCCACGTGTATCACTAGCTGTCACCTGTGTCCATCCACGTGTGTCTGTAGTTGTCACCTCTGTCCACCCATATGTGTTACTGTAGTTGTCACCTGAGTCCACCCACGTGTGTCACTGTAGCCCCACTTCTGTCAACGTTGTCACTGCCGGTAATAGCACTGTGAGACGGGCATCGCCGTAACGCATTGTACAAATACCCAACACAGCTAAATCTTTATCATAGTGCAACATTTTGCCCTCAGAGCGAAACGTGCTCAATAATACTTCGTTCTCCCTCAACTATGCCTGTCCAGCTACTGTGATGTCCAGTAACAGTGAAGTCAATTCACTATATTAGGCTACTGTTGTTATTTTTACATAAGCTAGTCTGTATGGCGCTGCCACCTGTATTGTCACCTGCGTTCGTGTGTATTCGCTAGTACATGCATGGCTTTTCTGGGTTAGTTTGATGGGTTGGGAGACCTAGCGACTACACGCGACTCGTTTCAGGCTGAAGTTCGCTTCAAAGGTACCATTAAAAAATAACATTAAGCTACCATGCAATGAGGTTGAAAAGATAACTCGGGAAAATAGGCACAGTGATATTCACCCCTCGATGTGAATATACATAGAAATACAACTCGGTGCATATTAAGAGATGTATATTCATACATCTCCCCATGTATATTATAGAGAAGCAATGTGTGTGGGGGTGTGTACTCACTTAATTGTGGTTGCAGGGGTCGAGACTCAGCTCCTGACCCCGCCTCTTCAAGGAGTGCTACTAGGTGCTTTCTCTCCCTGCTCCATGTGTGTGTGTGTACTCACCTATTTGTACTCACCTATTTGTGGTTGCAGGGGTCGATTCACAGCTCCTGGCCCCGCCTCTTCGCTGATTGCTACTAGGTGTGTGTGTGTGTGTGTGTGTGTGTGTGTGTGTGTGTGTGTGTGTGTGTGTGTGTGTGTGTGTGTGTGTGTGTGTGTGTGTAAATAACAAAAAGGCACAATACCGTGACTGGAACGATACACAAATAACCCGCACATAAAAGACAGAAGCTTACGACGACGTAAGTCGTCGTCGTAAGCTTCTGTCTTTTATGTGCGGGTTATTTGTGTATGTGTGTGTGTATGTGTCGACCCATAGCACCTGTGACCAACTCACTGCAGGTCTAAGCAATAGGTAAACAAAACGCTATAGAGATTTAAAGGTAATACTTGACCTAACAAACGTAGGTTTAAAGCCTGTTGACCACACGTGAAGTCATTATCGCACCGCATTTCTGCATAGGAAAAAAATTCTATGCTCCGTACGATAGGCATTAACCTCTGTGGATAGGTAGACACATCTATGTATACATATACACACTGAAAAATGCACAAAATACCATAGCTATTGCCATTATTATTATTATTACTATTATTATTATTATTATTATTATTATTATTATTATTATTATTATTATTATATAATTATTATTATTATTGTGTATTATATTATTATTATTATTATTATTATTATTTTTATTATTATTATTATTATTATTATTATTATTATTATTGCCGTACTTTTTAATCTTAGTACATTAGTAGGTATGTTCTCGTGTACTCCACGTAGTACTCTCGTGTACATTATTCTCTCAGATGTATTCTGCAATGCTGTGTGTACTCGTGTGTAGTGCTGTACACACTAATCCACTACTCCTATGCACTCTGACGTATTACTTGTGCATCTGCACTCTAGAGTAGTACTCGTGTGTACTCCATGTGTACTGTGGCATAGTACTTATGTGCACATACTGTTCATGTATAAACTAGCGTAAGAACACACTGTGTAGTACTCATGCGTACATACTATTCATGTGTACCCTAGAGTCCAGACACTCACGTTGCTCTGGTACGTGTTATCTGTTCATTGTTCATTCGTAAACACACACACACACACACACACACCCACACACACACACCACACACACACACACCACACACACACACACACACACACCACACACACACACACACAACACACACACACACACCAACCACAACACACACCACACCACACACACACACACACACACACACACACACACACACACACACACACACACACCACACACACACACACACACACACCACACACACACACACACACACACACCACACACACACACACACAACACACACACACACACACACACACACACACACACACACACACACACACACACACACACACACATGCACGCAAATAAATATTTTCAACAAACTCACACGTTTTGTTAGAGTTTGTTGTTGTTCCTTTGTGAAAAAAAAATTATAGTCACTTCTGAATAGCACCTCAAACTTTCGGGTCACAACCGAAGGACCCGGATTTATTCCTGGTGTGGGCAAGCCAACATGATTTATGTGAGGCTGTTGGATGAGGTGCTCACAGGAGGCATCCAGGAGGCTAATCCGCTGTCTCTCAAAGATATATAATACTCCTGGTAATATGAACGTTTGTAGGTTTTTGCTTTTAAAGACATAATGGCGTTAGTGTTGCTGAATGGGAACACCTTGTGTTCCCTGGGGAGGTTCTTTCAGTGTTGAATGGGAACACCTTGTGTTCCCTGGGGAGGTTTTTTCAATGTTGAATGGGAACACCTTGTGTTCCCTGGGGAGGTTCTTTCAGTGCTGAATGGGAACACCTTGTGTTCCCTGGGGAGGTTCTTTCAGTGTTGAATGGGAACACCTTGTGTTCCCTGGGGAGGTTCTTTCAGTGTTGAATGGGAACACCTTGTGTTCCCTGGGGAGGTTCTTTCAGTGTTGAATGGGAACACCTTGTGTTCCCTGAGGAGGTTCTTTCAGTGTTGAATGGGAACACCTTGTGTTCCCTGGGGAGGTTCTTTCTACGAGATATGAATAATTAAATTTTACAAGAGGTGAGTGTCAGCATGGGAGGTGAAAGTGTCAACGAAAGGAGAGGGAGAGAGAGAGAGAGAGAGAGAGAGGAAAGAGAGAGAGAAGACAGACAGAGAGCAGGACAAGGGAGGGAAGAGGAGTGTTACAATCACTAGCTGCCGGAATGGGGCCCACACACCCATTTTTCTCAGCTCATAAAACGAGGGAATTGCCTCTGAACTTTAAAAAACATTTTCTTGAAACCCCCTCCCCCTACTGCTCGCGCAAAAGCGTTTTTAGCGTCTAAATATACACTTCATTTTACTGCGTCAGTTGTTATGGTAGGAGAAACTTTGATGTGATTTGTCGTGTTGATGTTTACATTGTTAGAGTACATAGGATCGAGCCCTCCACCACTTTTCGCTACGAATGACTATTTAGCTTTTGGGTTAATTCATTAGGTTTTGGGATAATTCGTTGGCCTTTGGGTTCATTCGTTAGCCTTGGGGTTCATTCGTTAGCTTTTGGATTCATTCGTTAGCTTTTGGGTTCATTAGTTAACTTTTGGGTTCATTCGTTAGCTTTTGGGTTCATTCGTTAGCTTTTGGGTTCATTCGTTAGCTTTTGGGTTCATTCGTTAGCTTTTGGATTCATTCGTCAGCTTTTGGATTCATTCGTTAGCTTTTGGGTTCATTCGTCAGCTTTTGGATTAATTCGTTAGCTTTTGGATTCATTCGTTAGCTTTTGGATTCATTCGTTAGCTTTTGGATTCATTCGTTAGCTTTTGGATTCATTCGTCAGCTTTTGGATTCATTCGTTAGCTTTTGGATTCATTCGTTAGCTTTTGGATTATTCGTTAGCTTTTGGGTTCATTCCGTCAGCTTTTGGATTCATTCGTCAGCTTTTGGATTCATTCGTCAGCTTTGGATTCATTCGTAGCTTTTGGATTCATTCGTTAGTCTTTTGGGTTCATTCGTCAGCTTTTGGATTCATTCGTTAGCTTTTGGATTCATTCGTTAGCTTTTGGATTCATTCGTTAGCTTTTGGATTCATTCGTTAGCTTTTGGATTCATTCGTTAGCTTTTGGATTCATTCGTCAGCTTTTGGATTCATTCGTTAGCTTTTGGATTCATTCGTTAGCTTTTGGGTTCATTCGTCAGCTTTTGGATTCATTCGTTAGCTTTTGGATTCATTCGTTAGCTTTTGGGTTCATTCGTTAGCTTTTGGATTCATTCGTTAGCTTTTGGATTCATTCGTTAGCTTTTGGATTCATTCGTCAGCTTTTGGATTCATTCGTTAGCTTTTGGATTCATTCGTTAGCTTTTGGATTCATTCGTTAGCTTTTGGATTCATTCGTTAGCTTTTGGATTCATTCGTTAGCTTTTGGGTTCATTCGTTAGCTTTTGGATTCATTCGTTAGCTTTTGGATTCATTCGTTAGCTTTTGGATTCATTCGTCAGCTTTTGGATTCATTCGTTAGCTTTTGGATTCATTCGTTAGCTTTTGGATTCATTCGTTAGCTTTTGGATTCATTCGTTAGCTTTTGGATTCATTCGTTAGCTTTTGGGTTCATTCGTCAGCTTTTGGATTCATTCGTCAGCTTTTGGATTCATTCGTTAGCTTTTGGGTTCATTCGTTAGCTTTTGGATTCATTCGTTAGCTTTTGGATTCATTCGTTAGCTTTTGGGTTAATTCGTTAGCTTTTGGATTCATTCGTTAGCTTTTGGATTCATTCGTTAGCTTTTGGGTTCATTCGTTAGCTTTTGGATTCAT